AGGAGCCCCTAGTAGCGTCCTTGCTCCTAGTAGCGATACGTAGCAAACTAGAGCAAATGGCCATTCTTCAGAGCCTGGTTGAGGGTTGGTCTCGGCAAACCCCGTGGCGGAAACCACAAGTGGCTCCTCAGCTACGGCTGGTCTGTCAAGCTGGATTTCGGAGGTGAGGCCACGAAATGCATTCCGGTCGGCCAGTCTATAGCCTATCCGGTTTCAAACTCAGCGTGGGACATGGACCGTGGCCCATCTGGACGAAGAGTTCGGATTGCCTGTGGAAAGAAGCAAGGGAAGGCCCAGGCAAAAAGGAAGAGAAGTTTGGTTCGACAAAGGTCGGAAAACTGTGCGAAAGCTATAGGAAAATATCGACTACGTGCGGTTGCACAGCGATGCAACCACTGCACCTCCATGGCTCTCGGTCCACGTTGTGCACCACTCAGAGTGCGCCCAGGGTGTGTAAAAGTCAACACTTCTCAGCGACGTGGGAGTATGTAAAAAGCAATCAAAAGGCATACTCGAAATCTTCAGTCGTGTTGATCGACGAGCTTTTGGAGCTTACTCTTGTGCGTGCTGCTTCAATCTGCCAAATGCTACGCGCCTGATCATGAGCCCTGAAACTCCCCGGTACGAAAGCCGCAATTTGTAGTTCAATCATGTTCAAAGTCTCATGTGGAACCCTCTGAATGACATCGAAGTCGAAGAAGCGTGAGAAGCATGCAAATTGCAACACGGCCGGCTTTGCTTTTTTGGCATCCACCACTGTGCAAAGAAAACTCGGCTGTTCAGATCAACTGTAAAGCCCTGAAGAGGCTGCTTGACTCTTAGCGACCGCAAGATGAACCTGAGCACTGCTCGGCGCTTGTTGCATACTTGAGAAATGAACAAACCGTCAATTATGGCCTCAAAGTCTTAAGGCCTATTCTGTTTTCCTGTGTCTTTGGTCCTTGCTGCTCACTATTTACGTGTTCACCAAAATCTGGGAAACGTAAAGCTCATTAAGGCTCGGGATTCCTTGAAGAAGGAACCCTTTTGCATCTGATCTGTAGTAAAATACCCCAAAGAACTCTCAAAGAGTGAAGTCCAAGACTTGAAAAAACACTGGGAGACGGCTGGACTCTTTGCCACAGCTGGTTTTGCCAAGTGAGTAAAGTCGTTTGCATCGCACTTGAGAAGTTAACCCTCCAAAGAACATTCGGTTGTTGAATCAAGATAGTGGGAAACACATGATACAAAAAACACATCTGTCTAAGCCCCCACACATCTTCAAGATGCTTCCTTTCGCTGGGCAAGTCATCAAAACGACAGGTAGGACAGGAATTGCTTTTCTCCACCTCAGCACCGACAATTGAGCGCATGGTGCGTGCGTGCGTGCGCGGGCGTGTGCGGGCGTCCTGGCGTGCCTGCGGGCGGGTGTGCGGGCGTGGGGGCGTGCGGGCGGGCGGGCGGGCAACCGGGTGGGTGGATGGGTGGGTGGGTGTGAGCCCCTTAGAATCACAGGAGTTTGGTTCCGTCTTGATGTTTTTAAGTAGCAGGGGGCACTGGGGGTGCTGATGAGACCGGTGCTAACAAAGACATTCATCAGCTACCTGTGATACAGTTGGAGACTTCCAACTGTGCACCTGCAGCGTGATGACTTTCAATTCCTGCCGTCCCATGTTTTCAACTAGAACAAGCTCTCTTTCTTGGCTTCGGTGCTGCAGTAAAATGCTCATGAGCCCGCCCGTCGTGCAGTTTCAACTTGGACTTGGAGGTTTTCAAGTGTTATATATTGCAACTTTCGAGATTGTTGAGCGCCGCTCCATTCATGAATTTCGGGGCTTTGTACCTGTAGTCTTAGGAATATGGTCACTTAGGTTGCCATGTGGCGAGCGGCATTCAGTTCAGTACGCATTATCTTGAGAGTGTGTGTGTGTGTGTGTGTGTCACCCCCTGTCCCTATGGATTTCTTTAAAGTACAGCAGGGGCAGCAGGGGGCCAGCGCATGGCATCACGACCCTGGCCAACGAAGCTAGTGATGTCATGGGAAGCAGTCGGAGACGTCTGACTGTGTACCTGCGGAATCCTTGTGGTTTAAGCTTCTAGGGGCTCCTGGCATCGCTACTAGGAGCATTCTTGCTACTAGTAACAATGCATTACCTGCAGAATCCTTGTGGTTTAAACAATATTGTTTTCGACTTTTCACCATTCCGTTGTGCGCAGGGCCATTTCGACAGGTGAGTTGGCAGGTCGTCCAATGCAGTATGGTAACTGTCTAATGCATCCGTGATTCAGTAACTGAAATTATGCTCATTCAGTTGAGCTCTATATCTAGGTGTGGAGGAACCAAATACAGCCATGAAAAGGTTGCAAACATTGAGATTCAGATGCGTTCGCACTGGGTATGAGGTTTTTGTAAAGTCTGGGCTGAGCACCCAAGTGATGAGGCAGTCATCATGGAAGAGATGGCCACAAGGCATTGCTTTGGCCTTTGAACCTGCGAGGCAACTTTCTGATTTCTCGGGCGATTTGGCGACGAAAGTGGACTTATCCTTGAACCAACACGAAAGAAAGTGAAGCCTCGCGCAGTGGTGAAATCAAACAATCTCTACTCCCACAATGTTTTCGAGTAGAATTCAAACGAGAATCAAACATCTGTCACGACAACGCAACAGAGTTATGAACCACCTGGTGTTCCTTGTAGCTACAAGCAGGCAATCCCAACCCAAGCAATCCAAGCCGAATCATAATTAGCAGTTCAGTAGCGAGAGTCTTTCCATGTGTCGCTCATATACTCAATTGGTGGCATTACAGTTGGATAACTGCTTCTTTGCAGCATCAATTTGCGTTCAAGTATGTTCCGCGTGCGCCTGCAGGCATTGCTTCTTGGCAAACGACACAAATGTCCTGACTGAAGTTTGAAGGGCCAAGGCTTGCAAGGCTGAAAGGCACAAGTCAATGCGAATCTATTTTAGTTTAGGGCTATGGATATATGACATGTACATCATGCATTCTTCCATTTGTTTGAAACGTTAAGGGTCTTTGGGCCTTTCTTTCTGCCTTTGACGGGCCAGGAGCCCGTAGTAGCGTCCTTGCTCCTAGTAGCATCCTTTGCTTTGAAACAAACTCCGAACGCATCCTCTTCAAGCACCGTCTTCACACGCAGCTCGGCACGAGCATCTCGTGACATTCCGGGACGACTATCCCCCTTCGTCGCCGCAACAAGGGGTTCGGCGAAGCCGAAAAGGACACACACAGAAAGCGTTTGAACGTAAATTGGCATTCGAAACGTTAGGCTAGCAGAGCAGAGATGAAAGCATAGACAGCACAAAGACAACGAAAGCCATTGGAATCTGATGGTCTGTCAAAATGGACAGATTCAGGTTTGTCTGCACAAAAGCTTGATTAAGTCCTCTGCACCGCACATGCATCATGTTTTCAGGTTTCAGGAGTGTAAACCCACTGACTGCTTGTTTTCTTTTGTGGACAGGCTCTGCCTCGTCTACCAGGATCATGCCCTGTGCTGCCAAGAGCTCTGCAAGGGTCACGGGAGTGACTGCATCACCTGGGTTTAAGTGGATACTTTGGATTCCAGGAATGCTTTCAGAAACTCACAATCGCGAGAAATTCATGATTTTCTCAATGGCCTCAAGAAGTGACATGGAGAACATGTGACGAAATAAATGAATCTTAACATTGCTGTTTGGATTCCAAATCAGACTATCTAATTGACATTGCTGGCAAGCATCCAAATTGGCCCTTGTTGTGCTTGCGGTCTTCTTCGAAACGGCGAAGTTTAGCCTGAAACTCGCAGCATCTGCAAATCTAAACCACAGCGATAGCCTCCAACCTAATTGCGGGACTCTTAAAGGACGCTTAAAGGAACCTAATAGCTTCTAACCTAGAAGCAATGGCCTCCAACCTCATAGCGATGGCCTTCAACCTAATAGTGATGGCCTCCACCCTAAGGCTGACACCTGTTCCTTTGCCTTTTCTCGCACGTCTTCATCAACTTCCTGCAATCAAAAGCATGGAAGAACAGTTCTTCAAAACACAACTCCATAGCTCTTCAGCCTCCATAGCAGCATCTCTCCATCGACTGACCTGGTTCTAATTTGTAACGAAGCCATGCAACACAATTCGTCAAATGCAGTCAACCTCTTCTCGCCATGATTGACTGCACCCAGTTGAAACTCAAAGTTACAAACTATAAGCATTTCGCTGGTAGGTTGGAGGCCATTGCTTCAAGGTTGGAGGCCGTCGCTTCACAAACTATAAGCATTGCTTCTTGTTGCCCTTCAAGCGATGCGCATTGGGGCTGCTCAAAGCTGTGTCACATGCTTGGCGTGGCCTCTGTAGAAACATTGTGCCAGTCTAGCGCCAGAAAGAGCTCCAGTCCCGCTTGCCAAAACCTAAGAAAGTACCACAGCCTTCTGATATGCCATTCTGCATGTCATGCGTCCAAAATCTATGCCTTGCAATGCTCCCGCCATGGTAATTATTGAGAAGCAGCGACAGGTTTGAAATTGACAACTCCTGATGGCCCGCAAAGAAAGAACACACGCTTGAGCTCGGTACTTTGGATTTGAGAAGCGGGTCTGCAGCACAGTAAATGCTGTTTTCCCGACCTGAAAGATTCATGGAACATCTGCAAAATCTTAAAATTTTGTAGAACTGCCACAAGAAGGAGAGTAACGCCAGTTTCAGAGCCTCAACGAATACGTCCCACAGTGAACAGACATGTCATCATGTTCACTGTTGCCAATCGGACCGACAAACTCACAAGTCGCCTCTTCCAAACTTTTGGCCGTCTCCTGTCGCGGGCAAGACCTAACTCTAAGGGTCAAATACGTTTTTTAGACCTAGTAGCAAGAACGCTACTAGTAGCTCCTGGCATTACTACTAGTAGCAAGAAGCTACTAGTAGCAAGGGCACCGCTATTAGTAGCAAGGACGCTACTAGCGTCAAAGGCTTCTTATAGGCTTTTGTGAAAAGAGTGTCATATGTGTGTTCGTAGTAGTTATTCTTGGTAGGCAAGTTGCAGTCATGCCTCGTCCCCACACAGCTTTACCAACGCTTCACAAGCCTCCAATGCAACAAATTTTCGCAGTGCACCATCTCTGAAGAGGCTTATGAAAAGCTCAAAACGAATTTCTCACCTTGATGAAAGTCTTCTTGGACTTCAGCTCCTGGGGTCTTCCAAATCCAGGCTTGGGAATGGCTTCCAACCTACTAGCAATGGCCTCCAACTATGAAGGGACCAGAATTCAACCCGTCTACAAACCAGCTCTGAGGTTGAACAAAAGTCGTCAATGGCCAGTGATGCAAGCGACCTGTTTCAGCTTGGCAATGTCCACCTCCTGGGAATTTGGAATCCACGCAAAGAAGCTACTAGGAACAAGTGCATCGCTACTAGTAACAAGTGCCTTACTAGTAGTAACAAGAAGCTACTAGGGGCTCCTGGCATCGCTACTAGGAGCAAGGACGCTACTAGGAACACTTCCAGTTACATATGGAGCCAATGGCGAACGATTTGAGAACCCAACGGCCAACATGTTCATGAAAGCACAGCAACTGCTTGAGTCCTTTGGAGTGTCTGCCATTGACAGAAGGACTGTGCCGAATGAGTGCTCTGGAATTCGCAAAAGAACATGATTATCATGATAGTCTCATGATGATGCCGAAAACTCTGAATGTACCCCACCCTAAGCTGCTGCATTCTTGAATGACTTCTTGTCAACGGTTGCAAGGAGATCCGCACCCTGAACAAAATGATCGAATTCTGCGGCGCGTGCATAGAGTTGTTTCAAGTAGCACAGCTGAAGTTGTTCCTGTTCTGAATAACACGACTTTTTCAGACTGTGAGCAACAGCAAATGTCTGTTTTGGCGCTCAATTTCAGCGCCTAACACTAGCAACTCACTGCTTGAAGTACTGGATGAGGTTGCAAAGTGGGTCACAGCCAGGCACCTTTAGCAAGCGATGGCCTCTAACCTGCTAGCCATGGCCTCCAACCTAATAGGCTTGATATCCATACGACTGAAAGGATGTGGATCTTGGACTCAACTTCTCTGTAAACTCAATCATGCTTTGCAAAAGAGCATTCTGCGGAACCTCCTCATAGATGTCGCAAAGCCTAACCAGGCAAGTGGCAGCTTTAGAGAGAGGGCGAATGTGCTTCCAAAATCTGCATAGTTCTAGAGACTGTTTTGATCCAAAACAGCTGGATAAGTCACCGAACTCTCGTGAACTACTACGATGAGTGAATTGCACTGAAATGCGCTCAAAATTGAACTAAGGACTTGTATAAAGAATCTAAGTCTTTCAAGATTGTATTATTCTGGCAATTTGAGACCATTGCTAGTAGGTTGGAGGGCATTGCTAGTAGGTTGGAGGCCATCACTAGTAGGTTGGATCCCATCCCTAGTTGGTTGGAGGCCATCTGCTATTAGGTTGGAGGCCATCGCTCTTAGGTTGTAGGCCATTGCTATTAGGTTGGAGGCCATTGCTAGTAGGTTGGAGGCCATCGCTAGTAGGTTGGAGGCCATTTCTAGTAGGTTGGAGGCCATCGCAAGTAGGTTGGAGGCCATCGCTACTAGGTTGGAGGCCATCGCTCTTAGGTTGGAGGCCATCGCTATTAGGTTGGAGGCCATTGCTATTAGCCACACTTCCGGGCCAACTCCTTTGGCCAAGAGGCTCTTGGCGGATGCCATTGTAACTCTTGTGCCCGCAAATCACTGCGTCCATGAGAGCCTGTTCGAGGTCATAGAACCAATCTGAAACTCAAGAACAGTAAATCTTCCTAAATCTAAACGCCGTACAAGTGCTACACACAAACATGCGAACATGCAGTAAACCACATGTTTCATGTGATGCTTTAGTGCCTGCCCTTTGGCCAAGGCGACGCATCCTTCGCTGACTCTCCTGGTCTGAACTCAGAAGCTTCCAAACTCTGCTTCAACAACCTCAACCCTCAATATAGACTCCATCCCATATCATCTCAAGGGTTGGATTTGTGGCCAAGTGTGGCGAAGCAATGTATTTTCCCACCTGGCGCTTTGCGAGACTGGAAAGTGAAACGACAATCTTCTGCGAGGGACCTCAAAGTCTTGTGAATGAACAAGTGTTTGTTGTGTTGATATCTGGACTTATGGAGAAAATCCTTCGATCCACAGGAAATCCTTGGGATTTCCGTAGGTACGATCCGCAGCTCTCATTGTGCAACAGCCAAGACAGGCATTGAGAGACTGCCATTCCAATGCTGCTCTTCAGCATAAGATTCCACGGAGGCTTCATCCAAGGAAATCCGGACATGTGCTTCTGCATTGAAACATGTGCTACTAGTACCTTCTGGTTACTAGTAGCGATGGCCTCTAACATACTTGCGATGGCCTCCACCGAATAGCGTCCTTGCTACTAGTAGCGTCCTTGTTCCTAGTAATGCCAGGAGCTACTAGTAGCGTGCTTGCTCCTAGTAGCGATGCCCTTTAATTCCTAGTAGCTTCTTGTTACTACTAGTAAGGCACTTGTTACTACTAGCGATGCACTTGTTCCTAATGTCAACCTCCCCTCTCCGGTATTTCCGCCCCGTTCATCTCGGAGAGACATGCCACGCAATCCCAGCGTCACGCGGAGTGCCCCAGGCGGCCTTCTCCCTGCGACATCTGAACGTGTCTGGCAAAAGGAGCCCCAAACGTAGCTACTAGTAACAGGTGCATCGCTACTAGTAACAAGTGCCTTACAAGTAGTAACAAGAAGCTATTAGAATTAAATTAGTAGCTTCTTGTTCCGTTCATAATGTCCTTGCTCCTAGTAGCGATGCCAGGAGCCCCTAGTAGCCTTGGCAAAGGGTGCCTCTTTTGCTGACCCAGATGCATGAGGAATGTGTGCATCATACTCGCAGAAACAGCTACCTCATTCATATCTTGGTTTCCACACACATACACACACACACTGATCAAACTAATTTTGGTTTTGCTTTAGCGACGCGTCCTGGTAAACTCAAGTGTTGCTTGGACCCACATGCTTGGCAGTGCACCACAATGGTTGGCGGATTCTAAAGTGCCTCAGCTGCTGCCCCCGTTCAGGAGACTTCACCTTGCAGACTGTCGGCAAGCCGGTTGCAAACCACGTGGCAAATCATGACACATAGAAAGAGCAAAGTTGCCAAGACATTATAGCAAGAAGGTACTAGGCCATCGCTATCAGGTTGGAGACCATCGCTACTAGTAGCAAGAAGCTACTCGTAGCGACGGCCTCCACCCTCGTAGCTTCTTGTTACTAGTAGTTGGGTTTTGGTTCACTATTTTGTCTCTGTGTGTCATGCCAATCAAAGAGAGCTTGTCAAAATGTGTGAAACTTCCTTTTTGGGATCTGCGCACGAGAATTTGATGCGTGAAACTCTAATGAGTTGACGCTGTGCTTAAAAATGACCCGCCAAAGTTGCTCTGGACGGTGTCTTTGTCGTTCTACCGGAGGCCAACATAGAAAGAGCTGAGCGGCGTGGCTTGTCACCTCCGGCTCCACCTTGGTCATCACTGGCCTTGCTGACAGGCTTCGGCTTCTTCGCCTTTTGGTTCTGAATGGCTGGGTGGCTCAGCAGTTCCTCCAGAACCTGAGCACCACGAATGCAATTGGTCAGCGGCAAATGACCCACTGGAGCCTCCAAGCTGTAGATGAACTCATCGGGCCAATTGCGATTCTTCCAGGTGTCTGTGAACCAAGAGACCTCCTCTGCGAACTTGTCGAACTGGCCGCGATTTTTTCTCCAAATCTTCCTCTGCTGAACAAAGCCAAATCGTCCATTGCTGTGCTCTTGCCAGAGCTTCTCAAGTGTGTCCATGTCCTCTTCAGGAATTGTCTTCACTTCTGCAAAGTAGACCCAACCTCTCTTCTGGGCTTCTGCACCACACATCTTAATGAGCAAACTCCTGGTTTCGGCATCAGCTGCTTTGAAATCCTGTGCCTCCAACAAGCTCTTCAGCTTGCTGAAGTCCTGTCCGCCTGAGGCCACCTCAGCCTCCCCGGCCTCCCCTTCGGCTGCCAAGGCCACAACTGAACTCGACGTCTTCGACGCCTTCGTGTGTTTCTTTGCCTTCCGAGAAGCGGCACCCAAAGAAGCAAGGCCAAGGCTGCCAAGGCTGCCAAGGCCCAAGAAGCTTCCCAATCCAAGTCCTCCGAGTGTCGATCGTCCCGAAGACGCCGCCGGTCGAGAGGTCCCTGCCACCTTTGGAAGGCCCACTTGTAGTGGATGTGCTCCTGGATTCACAAAGGCCAGAGCCATAGCGTCACTTCGGCAGAGTACCTTTCAACCAAAAAATGGCTAAGAGGGTCGAGCTTTCTTGAAATGATTCAAGCAGAGAGAGAGAGAGAGATACTTATCGGAATTCAACAAATAGCTCGAACATTCAGCATGAGAAGGAACATCGAAAACAGGGACAAATCCCACACTCAAACAGAAAGAAAGCAAGGGCCTTGCTACTCACAAGAATGGTTTGATGGTCTTATAGGGTGGAGGCCATCGCGATGTTTGTGTCTTGGGTCGACTCGCAAAGCCTGCCGCCACTCGAGTCGCGTCCGCTCTGTAGGGCCCAGGATCTTGGCAAAAATGAAACGGCATCTCACAACAGAGTGTTTAAAGCACGAGAAACGCTACCAGGAACAAGTGCCACGCTATAGTAGTAACAGGTGCCTTACTACTAGGAGCAAGGACGCTACTAGGGGCTCCTGGCCTTACTACTAGGAGCAATTATTCGCTGCACAAACAAGTTGGAGAAGGCAGATTCAGTTCAAGGGCCCAACGAAGGGTCGATCTTTTTGACCATGTGCGGGAGGCTCCTTGCAACACGGAAAATATAAGGCATGTCTCCTCAATTGAAATGTTGACAGGTGTACTGTAGTGTACTCAACACACATGCTTTGCTATCTAGCAGTGTTTGCTTGACGCAATGTTGCTGAATTGTTTAGCATAATCTAAACCCTAGGGGATAAGAACTCCCTGGACCTTCCCCTCTGCTTCTAAAAAAGAATCAACAGCCAAAGGACCTTCCCTTTCCGAATGCACATCGGGCATCCTCCAGTGTAGGCCACAGCACGAATGCACCAAAGGATTCCGCCCTCAGAGGCTGCGAGGCACAGGCCACCCGCTGGTTACATGTGTTGCAGCGTCCTCGCTCCTAGTAGCGATGCCAGGAGCCCCTAGTAGCTTCTTGTTACTACTAGTAAGGCACTTGTTACTAGTAGCGATGCACTTGTTCCTAGTAGCGTCTTGTTACTTTAGTAGTAAGGCCAGGAGCCCCTAGTAGCGTCCTATGTGGAAAACGTTCTCCGAACGTCGAAACCTAAGGCAACCCTAAGAAATCCGACATGCAACAAGAAGCTTGGCACTGAAGCCGGAAGTTCGCGGGCAATCTTTTGGGACGGAAGCGGGTGATGGACCTATCCACATGTTCAATCGCACAAAACAACATTTGGAATCCACTTTGGGCATTGCGAAGTTTTGCCTCTAAAAATTGGAGATTTGTCAGATTGAACTCAGCTCCTCGCGCATCGCTGTGGAGGTTGCCTGCGGCGCAGCGGGTGGAAGTCGACTGTGGTGGTTTTCATTAACACTCAGAGTTTGGACTCCCAACGCCAAAACATGAGAGGGCCTCCTCTCCTATCCCTTTGCTCCTAGTAGCGTCATTGCTCCTAGTAGTAAGGCCAGGAGCCCCTACTAGCGTTCTTGCTCCAAGTAGCGATGCCCTTTGCTTCAAGTAGCGTCCGATCGCTCCTAGGCAAGTTGACCTGAAGCCTCCCAAAAATATGTGAGATCATTCTCTCACTCAGGCCATGCCTCTTGGTCCATCAGGCTCCTGAAAGCAGATTCTTGCGCACGCCGGATGCTCATCGATTCACAGACCGGATTGCCAAAACTACTAGTAGCTTCTTGTTACTACTAGTAAGGCACTTGTTACTAGTAGCGATGCACTTGTTCCTAGTAGCTTCTCGTTACTAGTAGTAAGGCCAGGAGGTACAACTAGCGTTTTTGCTCCTAGTAGTGATGCCCTTTGCTCCTAGTAGCTTCTGATTATCGGATTGCCAAAACGATTACCAAAACCTATCGAGTCTCTGCTTGAATTCGACCCATGTGAAAACGGGTGAAACGCACGCACACGCCCATTGCATGTGATCCGCGCCGCTGCACACAAGAGCAAAAGTGAAACAGGAGGAGCACCCCCCAAACAGGGCATCGAGTCACAGGTATCGACCCAAATCGCCGGTCCTGCCATCGGAATAGTGCCTCTGTGCCCAAGGACATCGCAGCTTCCTGTGGATCTGCGAATGGCCTCATCACCGAAGGCTGACAGGGACGACGCTAGTAGTAACAAGTGCCTTACTACTAGTAACAAGATAAGAAACTATTTTGTTACTAGTAGTAAGGCACTTGTTACTACTAGCGTGGCACTTGTTAGTACTAGTAAACAAGTCGTGGTGGACTTGTTCTCTTTCAACGTAGCCAACAACCTGTTCACGCTTTAACATCAGTCGACGTTGCACACGTTTGCTTAGCTCTACCAGTGACTTGCCAGCCGGCCTGCTGATCCAGTTCACAGCTGCTAACTCGGAAAAGGTTGCCCAAACTCCTGCGCTCCTGAAAGCTGAGAAGGAGAAAAGAGCGAGGAAGCAAAGAGCTGAGAAGGAGGCTTGGACACTCCAGTGAAACTCGTGAAACATATTAAACTACATTGACTTCATAGTCTCCTCACAAGTGTTGTCAAGTCTGCCTGTTTGTTTCACATATCTTAGATTTTGATGTCAAGTTGATGGGTGTTCAATGCCCGAACATCGATGATGCGGGGTGTACGTCTGAAAAAAATAGTTGGTCACCCCAAGAAACCAATCTCGGAGAATGCTAAGATGCACACGCCAGCAGCAGGAGGCTCTTCTCAGGCATTTCCTAGCGCCACGACACATATTGGACTCTTGTCTTTTTTTTGGGGGGTGGTAGGGGGTATGCCGTGGATAGAGGTAGCTACTAGTAAGCCATGAAGCAGGACGCTACTAGCTACTGGACGCAGGAGAGCTCACGCTTAGGAAGCTCCACCCGCCGCCCTAATGCTCGGGCACCACTCAATCTCAGGAGCAATATAGCGGCCCAAAAGACTTTGCACAAAGCTCATGAACACGTCTTCTTGAGTTTCCCCTAAAATTTCTTTCTTTCTCGAGCGCCAAGGACGTTTGTCTGCGGCGTAATGCATGAATTTATGTTGCAAACTAATTTAGCTTCTGGCCTTTGTTGCCAAAGTCCTGTCCCATTGTGGCGTCAGTGTCAAAAGAAGCGTTCAAAGCTTCAAGAACATCCTCAAACCACCTAGGAGTCGGACAGGAAACTTCAGGCAAAGGCTGGCATTCAGCACACAGAGCTGCGATCGCCTCGCATAGCCCTGGAGGGTACACCTTCAGTTCTGAAGTCCTCCAGCGACCTTCTGCGTCCTTGCCAATTGCAGAAGCTGACGGGAGCGGAGTCGTCCGCTTCCGGAGGCCACAACTTCAGCTGAACAAACATTTAGAAGCAAGAAGTATGGAATCCACCCGCAGATTCTTCTTTGCTTCCTACTTCTTCTCCGTCTCGAACCAGCCAATTTGCAAATCTCCCGTGGGAATGGACAAACATGGCTTCGCTCTTCTCTCAAGCGTCCCACAGAAAGGCCAAATACACCAAGCAAAAGGGCATAGTTCACCAGACAGAGACCTTGGAGAAGTTGGGCTCCTCCTACAGTCTCATATCCTTCATCATCAAAATCTGCAAGCTCCAATAGTCCAATATTGCAGCATGTTGAACAAAATTGCAGCAATAGGAAAAGCTTGACGTGGTCGGTATTGGGCCAGATATACAAATGCTGGCGATCCATAAAATGTCTTTTCAAGGCATAGACAATGCCTGGCAGTTCATTGCAAGCCCCCGCGGCAATTCCTACCCACGACATCAGGAAGGGAGCAAGGAACAAAGTCTCCACAAGGCCAGGAAGATCGAATTGCCCCCATCCAATGGGTGGCATTTCATCCCATGGAGACTGCATGCTCAACCAGAACGAATGGCTATCGATAGCAAAGATAGCCGAAGTCACTTGAAAAAGAAACGGCCATACCCACTGTGCTTTTTGGGCAAGCCATCTACTAACAATCGCAAAAAAGTGGAAGTCAAAACTGAACCCCAGTTCAAAAATCCACTGCAAACCCATCACCTGAAAGCAGGATTCCGAAAAATCTACAAAATCAGGCGAGCCACTCTTCATAGTACTCCACTTCACTTCGGAAGCAGAATCATCGAGACCACTTTCAGTCTAACTCGTTCGAGAAAAGACCAGTGACCTTCTTCTTCCTGGCATCCATTCGAAAAGGAAGCATTGCTGTCCCAGGCTCTCCTGTTGTCATCACTGAAGAGACCCCCTCTTCTTTCGGTAGAGAGACCTGCGCGGCCAGCTGAGTCTGGAAAGCAATCACGAGGTTCCAGAGTTCTGGAATCGTCTGATAACTTGCTGGCTCGGACTTGACAATAGCTATCAGCTGTGCTCGATGAGGTTCCGGGATGGTGGAAATGATCTCCTTCGCTTCCTGCCTCTCTAGATCGAGCACTTCTGCAGCTTCCAGATGGGCTTCCTCGGCACTCCGCTTGGCTGGTGAACGGGAGCGCTCTCTGTGATCCTCGAACAGGCTGCCTTCTCGTTCTGCACGTCGGGGCCTGTGCACCATCTGTGGCGAATTGTTGGCTGGCATTTCCAACCCATTGCTGCTTTTCAGGGCCACCACTAGGCTTTGCACTTGGTTGGCCAATTCCATATTCCTCTGTTCCATCGATTGAACGTATGAGGCCATCTGGATCATGTTTTGCTTCATAGTATCCATCTCTTGGGCGAGGCGCTGGTTGGCCGGATTGTTGGACGAGCCCTCGTCCATCTCGTAGCGACCCTCCTTTTCGTCCTTCTCGACTGTCTTCAAGTCGACCTGCAGCTGGTGGATCTCTTTCTGGAAACGGGCCTCTTCCTGCTGTATTCCCGTGTCCATACCTGTCTTCCAGGCCGCATAGCGCTCCTCTTGCTTCACAATCTCGGCCTTCAACTTCTCGACTCTTGTAAGGGCCTTTTTCTCCTGGTTGAGTTCCTTCTGCCTTTGTCGTAATTCTGCACGAGGGTCTACCGCTATCAAGCTCTTGACTGCTGCCGGAACTTCTTCTGGCTCTGGCGTCTTGCTGAGGAGATACTTGACAGCCTCTTTCAGGACCTTGTTCTCCTCTGCAGCTGA